GAACTTCGACACCAATTTTAATGGTTAAACTGGCCCAGGCCGTTAGACAAGAGTGGGTAGATGGCCCTTCATTTTTATTCCGGTCAGGGTGTTAATTTTCCATTTCTCAAGTGCTTAGCATTACATAAATGCCTTCAAGGAGGCCCTGCGTCTGGCCACCTCTCGGCAGCGAGAACAGCAGAGAGACTCCCACATAGTTAAGAATAGCTAAGGATGCCGCCCGTCTACTGCTGGCATTCCGAATGGATTCACTGAGCTCTAGCAGGGGGCACCAGCTCCTGCAGGGAACTGGAGAAACATCACCCTCTGCTCTCATCACTTTTAAACCAGTTTCTACCACCTCATTGCTTTTTAGATGCTTTCCCCAGAGCAGATGCAAATCAGAAAAATGCTGGAGGAGTTTCACCTTTGAAAGTGAGTTTCTTCCCTGTAACTGCACACAGGAGATGGAGGGTCTTATTCACTCTGCTGTCTTCTCAAACACTCCATTTCTCAGCCCGTTTTATTCAAAATGTATTTAATAACTACATGAAAAAGTTAACCAAGAGTAAGACTAATTTGATTTTTGTTGCAGATGTGTTGAGTGGATTCCAAAACTCCTTACCTCCTTATCATCCCAATTCCAGCTGCCCCCAGACGTCTCTGTGATACGCAAGAGGAACTCTTTCTGAGAATACTTTAGCCCAGCCTGCTTGGCTGGTCCACCTATGTGGAACCTTCTAGTAGCCAGGTTTCCTTAGGAGAAGGTTGAGGTCTATACTTACGTAGACAGCGGAGCTAATTCTGGGATCTGGCCTGAGCTGGCAGCCTGGACCACCACCCCTGCCTGGCTGAGGGTGGCCTGGTCTCTGACTGCCAAGTGGACCATTGCAAAGAGGATGCGCGGTCATGGGACAGACAGAAGGAGACTCCCTGAGACATGGGCAGCAAGCTCTGGGCTTGGCCATGAGAGGGAGGAGAGTCATCTGGAGCCATCAGAACTTCCTCCACTGCCGTGCCTGCTAACCCCGCCACCAGTTCCACTGACAGTGCCGGTGGGGTCCCCCAGGTGACCGTGAACTGGCCTTCTAAGACCTGACCCCTGCCCACCATCCTTCCCACCTACTTCCACTGCAGCCCCGAACCCCAAGCACAAGACGTTTTCCTGCTTTACACTCGGCCAAGATGACCTTCTGCGGGGCAGGCAGGTTCTCACTCGCGGTTCGGGGCCTCAGCAAGAAAAGGGGGAGTGCGTCCTGGGGAGAGGGCTCCTTTCTGTCAGCTCAGGGAAAACAGGCAAACCACACTGAGCCCTGCCAGCCATGTGCCAGAGCCTTACAGAGCACTGTGGGCTTGACCTCTCAGTCTAGGCATTCCAGAGCTGGGGTGAAGACCAAGGAGCTCATCTATGTGGCAGGGATGGGCTGTTGTGCTTCCGGCAGAAGCTGTCACTGGGTCTCCTCCTCCAATGCCTCCTTAGTCCTGGGGGCTCTGCCAAGCTCCTGCTGAGACCCCCTGTGGTCTTCTTAGAAAGTTCAAGGCAGCCACAGTGTCTGAGACATTCTCTGTCTGGGCGAAGACACCCTTTCTAAGCATGGGTTGTTTCAAATGGGTGAGGGAAAATGAGACAGATGACAGAGCCCCACTCCTGTCCCTGGAGCTCCCAGTGTGTCTCCGTGAGACCCTGGCTGACTCAGGGAAAAGGCTGACTGCTAGCAAATCTCTATAAGCGAGACAGCAGCAGATAATTCAGCTAATCAAGTGAAATAGGCATAGACCCACCGCCCAACCCCACCCCACAGCGGAGAGAGCTTTTCCTAGATGCAGGTTGCAGTGTGAGGAGAGAGTGCTGTTCCCAGGCCTGTGTGCATCATGCTGACATGAGTGAGGATGTCACATCACGAGGCACACAAAGCCCTCCTTGACAGAGCACACGGCCACGGGAGAAGTTGAGATCTGGAGTGACTCCCTCACTCTGCAATGTCGAGGGTGCCTCTGCTTTTAAGGATACGTGTGAACCACCCTCTGAGGTCTGGTGGTGGTCTGCCAATACATCCTTATTCCAACAGCTGCTCAAACAAGCCTAGGCTCTCTCTCCATTCAGGTGGGGCTGAGGTTAGACTAAACACGAAACGAGACATGCAGTGAAGCATCAGCCACCTCTCCATCCCTCTATGTAACTGCACAGGTCCCAGCAGGCAAAGCCTAGATCTGATTCAAGCAGTATGCTCCCAGCATGAAGCTTCTCCATCCACTCGCAGGTGTTTGCTCCTCTTGTAACACAGGAGGCACCCCTGGGGCTCCCTGGACATTTCCCTCTTGCCCTCATGCTTGCCAGTTAAAGGTGACACGGCCAGGAACACACACTGCACCTCTGCTGTAGTGGCACCAGTCACTGTGCAGACCAGGGAGGCCTGTAGGTCCCGTGGGACCTTGGCCATCCTTCCTCTGTGATCCCAGACCCAAGTCCTCACCCACCTTTCCTCAAGCCCGTGGCCCTACACCCCGCCACTCCCACTGACCGCAGCCGCCCTTACCTCCCATTCCCAGCACCCCCATTCATTCCCTCATCTGCAAGTACCCTGGGCTTAGCTGCTCCACGCTCAGAAACCCACGAGGACCCGCTAAGTCCTCGCCCTGCGTGGGATCTGCCCTCCCATGTGGACCAAGCTCCCTCGTTCCGCTCCTGTGCCGAACCTCTACTGCCGCAGGGATAGCGTGCTTTCAAGTGTGATCACACAGTAGCCAACAGACTCCCTCACCTATCCACGATTCATCGGCAAAGACCCACGACTGGGAGGGGAGTGCAGCAGCCAGGGAACCGTTCTGATTTGCTGGATCCCACGAAGCCTTGCTCATGGTAACACAATATCGCTGGAGAAGAAAGCCACAGCTTTCACAGTGAGAAGGCTCTAGTGCTCAAGGTCAAGTCTTCTGGATCCCTGCAACCCCCCAGGGGAGCCTGGCGGAAGCTGTGTGAGGATTCCACAGGGTCTTGGGGAACATTTCCCAATCCCGCAGTGCGATGTGCGGCAGTTTGCCTGCCTTGGAGACATCGGAGAGAAGCTCTCAAACAGTTTGTGGCATCGTCAAATGGACGTGCAGTCATGTGCCGCATAGTGACATTTCTTTCAGCCACGAACCGACCGCACATACCATGGTGGTCCCGTCACATTATAATACCGAATTTTACCATACCCTCTCTCCGTTGGGATGTGTTTAGACACACACATCCCACCACTGTGTCACAACTGCCTCCGCGCAGTCAGCACCACACGGTCTGCAGCCTGGGCGTGCGGGAGGCCATGCCACCAGGCCTGTGTGAGCGTACCCTGTGATGTGCACTAAAGGATGTCAGATGCCACTGCCCGAGGATGCGTTTCCAGAACATACCCCTGTCGTTAAGCAGCACAGGGATGTATATGGTCTTTGTTCCAGATGATTCCTGATACAGAGCTTCCCAAACTCTTAGAATTTCCTGAGCAAGGACAAGTCCCTGACCATGCCTGAGGCTGCACAAAGGAAATGATTTCAGGACGCCTGAGTAGCTTCAGGGAGGGTGCTGGTCTCCAGAGACACCAACCGCGTGACCGGAGGGTTGCCACTTTCGGCCCTGCCCAACCCTCTGAGTCCTCTCACTTGGCTGACGATTTCATCAGTCATGCCTATGTAGTTACATTTCTGCTAAAATTCTAAAACAATGAGGTTCTGAGCGCTTCTAGGCTGTTGAACACTGCGGCACTGGGAGGGTGGCTCGGGGGATGCCCAGAAGCTCAGTCAGGTCCATACCTTACCCTGAGCACTGCTTCCACTGGCTGTTCCTGAATGGTATCCTTGATAAGACAAATGTAATGCCAACTAAAGTGCTTCCTGAGTTCTGCGAGTTGTCCTAGCTAATCACCACTGAAGTGGAGAGGAAGTCATGGGAACCCCAAATCTGTGGTCAGCTGGGCAGATGTATGGGCAGCTGGGGGACCCCATTTGCAGCCAATGTCTAAAGCAGGGCAGCCTGAGGGACTGAGCCCCAGCCTGTGGGGTTTGACACTAACTCCCACTAATTAGCATCAGAATTGACTTAAATTGTAAGGGTTGGAGAATGGGTGGTTGGAAAACAGCACAATATTAGTACAAGGAGGCCTTACCCCGAGGCACTCCCAGGGTGCAGAGGAGCTTTAGCTACAAATGGAAGGCTGGAGGCGCTGGGCACCTGCCACCGACACTGACCGTGGCATACAAGGCAGGGGTGCCAGTTTGTCCAGATTGGAGCCAAGTTCACCCTAAAAATCAGAGGGTCAGGAGACAGCACAGCAGGCCCGGTCATCAGGGACATGCTCACTCACTATGCAAGGCTGGTGGGGGCCCTGCGCTCCTTGGCTGGCTGCTTTCTGTTCCTGGCTGGCACATTGAGCTGACACAACTGGTTGCTATTTCTGTTCTTTAAATGAGCTGTTCCTCCCAGCTGTATACTGCACTCTCATCTTCAGGCTTTAAACTTAATTTTTACTGTAATAACCTTTTATTCTGCTTCCAAATGACTCCATTATAAAAGGGCATTTTAAAAAACCAAAGACTGTGGCTCCCTCGTGGAGGGTGTCTGGAGAGTGGCATACTCTGAGAGCAGGCAGCCACACAGGGCGACAGAGAGAACAGCCACGTCTTTAATTAACAGCCATTCGGTTACGATTCTTCTTGGAGTGGAGGGAAAACAGATCTTTTGAAGTGTAAGGCATGCTACACTTTCTTCAGCCACTGCCTTTCGCTGATAGACAGGCAACAGCATTATCATTTTAATACATATGCACAAATAGATCAGAGCAGGATAGCTCACCACTTAAATGCTATGTTTTTCTTTCTGCAGAATGTGACCACAGTGCAGAATTATACCTGCCAGGAGCTGCAAGTTCATTTTTTTAAGGCACAGGATGCCCGAGAAACATGCAGTGTCTCTTTGGTGACATCAGACAAATGCCAGGACCAGACAACGCCATTGCTAGTGGCTCTTGGGCTTTGGGGTGTCTTACCAGGGGGATCCGGGCACTGGGGTGGAGGCCACTGGCCTGTTGCCTCTGGCTGTGCTGTCGTCTCCTCCCCCCAGCATCGGTGGAGGTTCCTTTCAACAGAAAGAGACAGGAGAGTGACTTTTAATTTTAAACACTCATCTTCAATTACAAGCAAGGAAGGGAGGAATAAACAAATCTCCTGCAGGCAGGCTGCTTATAGTAGCCCCGAGATAATAACCTCAGCACAGCAGCGCCTGGGCTGGGAGGTTCTGCCGGGAACACGGAATCAATGCAGAGCAGACTGGGTAGAATCACCCGGACAAAGGCACCCCTCACTGTCCCAAGCTGTCTAAGCTGCCTGCTTTTCCAGAAGCAGAGACGGTCAGAGGCAGCCAAGAGAGGGCATCTGAGGTCTGATGTCTTTGGGACAGAAAATCTCACCGGCTTCATCCCCAGAAATGAGCTGACCCGGCAGTGGGAGTCACTGTGCCATGAAAACAACAGCATTTAGTGGCAGAGAGCCTCAAAGCTGGGGCTGCCACATCCTGGTCCCATTAAGGCAGGAAGAAGCGACAAACCCATATTCCTCAATAACGACTCTGCCACCCAGAGTGCGGTTCCTTCCCAGGCTCCCGCCTTTCCTGACCATCCAGCTGGGGGCGGGGCTCATGGGGACTGTTTTGCATCCTGGGAAGGATTCTGATTCTGATGCTCGGTTGGTCCACGTTTTCATTGAGAAATAAGAAAGTTTGAAAATGCTGGGCGCGGTGGCTCACGCCTGTAATCCCAGCACTTTGGGAGGCTGAGGTGGGCGGATCATGAGGTCAAGAGATCCAGATCATCCTGACCAACATGGTGAAACCCCGTCTTTACTAAAAATACAAAAATTAGCTGGGTGTGGTGTGTGCATCTGTAGTCCCAGGTACTCGGAAGACTGAGGCAGGAGAATTGCTTGAACCTGGGAGGCGGAGGTTGCAGTGAGCCGAGATCGTGCCACTGCACTCCAGCCTGGATGACAGAGTGAGACTCTGTCTCAAAAAAAAAAAAAAAAGAAAAAAGAAAAAAACAGAAAGAAAGAAATTTATCACCTAGAGTAAAATGAAGATTTATGCCCTAAAATTAAAAAGAGAGAAAAATAAGCTATGGTGGGGACATTTGATCAGTATTCACTAGGAATAAAATTTGGAGAAAAATAAAAATTGCTTGAGATTTAAAAATATGGTCCATCATAACTCTAACATAAACAGAGGCCCACAATTCAGATGAATTCCTTTAGCCATATTGATGTATGACAGACAGCAGATCTTACTGGGCAGAAAGAACCAAATTCTTGCCGGTAGAACCATATATCACAAAGAGAAATAAAAAAAAAAAATAATAAGGAGGTATCACCACAATCTTCGAAGGCTGTAAGAAAGAAATGAATTCACATGAAGTATAATAAATTCTCGTGTGAGAAACTTTTTTCTTTTTTCCTCTTCCAGCTGTTTCCATGGTTTTAATCTCAAACTTAGAATGCTCTGATAGATTATGTTCTCTCTCTGGGAAAATTAGGTGGGATTAAAAGATACCAACGCCTTATTCAAAGCAGCAATCTGGTTCTGAGTTGAGAATGTCAGGTGTAATTAGAATACTCGATTCATTAAAAAAATGGAAAATCATCCTAAAAGTTTAGAATCTCTGTTTCTACCGTTGTTGATGTTGGTACTTTATGAGGTAGTGGAGGTGGGAAGATGATTAACCATTCGACCAACCAAAACTAAATGAAGTCAATGCTCCAAAGTCCTCCTCGGGAGCTCCCAGTGCAACATCAGCCATGCTTAGGAGGCTGGTGATGCTGTGGCAAAGCCCAGCACATGTGGGTCCCTGAGGGCTGTGCTGGGCCAGGGCCCATCTGCACTATGTCAGCTGCTTTCAAACAGAGTGCTTAGGAAGGAAAGTGCTAAATTACGGAGGCACAGAAACATAAGATTAGAACAAAAATTAAAAGAATCTCGAGTGTCTATAACAGACAATGGTGAGATAAAGCCCAAATGAGTAAGTCTGTCTAATGTGACAGTTTGGTAGAACCATGGAAAACAGAATGAAGTTGTGTCTTGGTGACCGAGTTATCCAGAGTGAGTGGCCCATATTGAGATGCCAGCCCAGAAGGGAGGACAAGAAACACGGAGATTAAAGCGCTCAGCCAGAAGCATCTTGCACGGTCTCCAGCGTGAGGGTGAACCTGGGAAGGGCATCTTCTCGAACACCACGCAAGGGATTACCAGGAAGAAAGGAGTGGTCTGTTTCATGTACGTTCATCCTGGCATTTTGGTATTTTACACATGATTTTAATGTATATTATAACATTATCCTTAAGTTTGTAAGTTTACGAATAACATTTTTATAGATTTTCTAGTAGCATGAAAAACCTTTGTTTCTTGTGAGAAAATAAGGTCAGGATAACTAATTGGCATAACAGAGCATTCAGAAACCCTTGTATCAAAAAATATATATTAAGACTAGAGCTTATGTTCCCAATCCAATTAGAAAAACTAGGGGGGGACTTTCATTATGAAGTTAATTGAACAATAGAAACTCACCAAGAAGTCTCTGAGTGGTAGATTACCTCAGCTAATTATTCAAGCAAATAGAGTAGGATGTAATTTGTGATGGGGACTAACGTTTAAATTTGGCAAGGCTGGGGTTCTCTACTGCTAATTACCGAGGTCTTCTCCATGAGATGCATGCTGGTTATGATTTCCTGTTGGCGATAAAAACGGCTAATCATGGTATAAAACTCTTGTCCCATGCTGAAGTCATAAAAGTGAATTAGATTCGAAGAACCGCGTGATGGAGAAAGGAGTTATTTAAGGCACTAGAAAGGCTATCTGTGTAATTAATATGTAATTCTGGCCTGGATGTTAATCTGGAAAAATCAGAAAAGTCATACCTCAGAGGGCAAAAGTTTAATTTGCACTAACATTTGTGATCAATTTTCACCACTGAACACCCGCACCGATGATTGAGGAGGAGCCGTGAACAACAGGGCGACTACATCCTGGAAGAACTCAGAGACACGGAAGAAAACCAGGGAGAACAGAAAGCTCGCAGTGTGACTTCAGGCCGAGAAATACCTTGGAAAGGTGAAGGAAGAGAGAACGTGGACAAGTAACTGAGTCCCACCAGCATCTTCGGTGTATTTGACAGATGAGAGCAAATTAAGTGTGATTTGTGATTTTGAAATGCAGTAATAAAAGTGACTCTGTTGGGTTATTGAGAGGAAGGACTGTACTATTAAAAACACGAAATGCTTCAAATGCACTGTCCTGGTCAGTCTTTAAAATGCCATTTGGCAAACCAGTGAAGAGAAAGACCTGAAATTAGAATGAGAGCATTGGCTTTTCTTTCCTCTTGCCTAAGTGCTGTCTGAGTTTGACTAACTTGTGTGTCTTCTCTGCCTTCTGAAAATGGACAAAGCTCAAATGGAAGCCAAAGCCTTTCCCAACAGGGTCCCCCAGGGAGCTCCAGACCCAGACCTGGCAGGACCAGCAAAGGCTGCATCCCTGCTCTCCAGGCCTCACCTGGCCCCTTCAGTGCCAGGTCCTGTTGCTTCACACAGCAGATGTCAGTCATTTCACCAACACCGTATAGCAAACAAGCATGAGGGTGTCCTGGCCCTGGATCTCCACACCCAGGGTTTTGTGTCTTTAACACACACACGAGCCCTGAAACTGACCTTGTCTTCTTTGTCCCCAGCCCGGCTCTTCTTCTGGGCCCGCAGCATCAGGGCAGGTGGGTGGGCCACTCGGCCCCGCTCTGTCCTTGTATCTGTTGGGCCAAAGAAGCTGTCGTTAACATTTCATTTGTCACAGTAGTTTGGAAAACCTAAGCAATCAAAGACAAAATGTGGCCCTGAAGATTCGAATTGATCGGTAGACCCTGTGCATTCCATAGGAAAGTAACATTGCCCTGTCCTTGGGTTGAAGTCTAGTGACAAAGTTCTCATCCCAAAGTGAGGAGGCACCTGACGATGGGTTTGCAGGGGCCAGAGGCCTGGGCACACACATGCACCCCTGGACTCCCTGGCCCAACCTCCTGGCATCCCTCTCCTGTGCCTGTGTGTGCCTGCAGTGTTCACTCCATCCTGGACTCAGGCAGTGTCCACTCCGTCCTAGACTCAGGCAGTGTCCACTCCGTCCTGGACTCAGGCAGTGTCCACTCCGTCCTAGACTCAGGCAGTGTCCACTCCGTCCTGGACTCAGGCAGTGTCCACTCCGTCCTGGACTCAGGCAGTGTCCACTCCGTCCTGGACTCAGGCAGTGTCCACTCCGTCCTGGACTCAGGCAGTGTGCACTCCGTCCTGGACTCAGGCAGTGTCCACTCCGTCCTGGACTCAGGCAGTGTCCACTCCGTCCTAGACTCAGGCAGTGTGCACTCCGTCCTGGACTCAGCCTCTCGGAGAAGGACAAGCAGGAAACAAGTCCAAAAGGGGGTGGCCCAAGACTTGGCTGTTGTCCACCTGGTGACAATCACCAGGGTGAGGCCAAGACAGCTCTCACCACTCCCAGCCCAGTGGGCCCAGGATGGGAGTGCTGTGCCCAGGCGTGTGAGTGTCTTGGGGCTGCTCTCTCACATTCTGGGGCCCCCAGTGCTCTGGGAAGTCAGCAGCCTCCTCCAGTGATGTCAACCTGCCCCCTGTGAACTGGGCCATGTGGGTCACGGATGAATAGGACACAGGCCCTTCCCAAGGACAAAGGGCCAGTGTAGGACAGAAGAACCAGCCTTGCTGAGGCTCTGCCAGCTGGTGGCCATGATGGGCTGCCTTTGGTCCTGGCCCTGCCAAGGGGACAGGAGGGGCTCTGTGCAGACCACACCACCAGTGACCATGGCTTACTGGCCACCATGGTGGGCCCTGGCTTTTCCAGGGGGCCAGATCCACAGCACTTTGAAAAGTACTTGTTTCAGGGGAGGAAGGGATTCTGCAAATTCCCAACAACTGTTCCATTTTTGTCTTATCCAAAAGTGTATATCTAAGTCTCAAAATTTTGCAAGTAGATTCAGGGTAAAACAGGAAAGCAAGGTTGAGCACTGTTTAATACCAAGAATTAAAAAAAAGGACCCAAACCATCTAACCACACACCAACCTAAAACAATACATAAGTTCTCAAAGGAAAGCCCTGGCCGGGTCTCATGCGTGTGCAGGGCAGGGCCCTTGGGAAGCAGAGATTTGTTTAGCTTGATCCAGAGCTCCAGACTAGACAGCGCAGTCAGGGAGGCCGGGTATGTTCCTTCCTGGCAGCAGGGAGGGTTGGGAATTAATGTAAATCACTTTATGCGTGTGTGCACACAACACACAGGCACGTATATGCACACACACAGAGAAAGGATGTCCCGTGGCCCCTTCAAGTCACCCGTCTGTGCTTGAAGGAAGTGAAAGGCAAGACTGGGGGTCCCACTGGCACTCCCCACCTTCTAGCCCTTCTTCCTTGACCCCTGCAAACTGGGGCCCCTCCTGGAAGGAGAACTGCATAGCTCCGCATGGGGCCGGCAGTCACGCCATCCGTGGGCATTGGCACCCGTCTGCCTTGCAGCTGCAGAGCCAGGTGGTCTGCAAGGCATCCCTCCCCAGAGCCCTTGGGAGGAAGCCCCTTATTAGTTAGGGTTGGGTCAGTTAGCAGATTTATTTCAGATGTGGGGCAGCAACACCGAGGCAGTCCAGATGTGGCCCAGAGGCCCCATCCCTGGAGGTGCTGAGTCCGGACAAGGCAGAAGCACAGCATTCTACCCCCAGCTCCCCTCCATCCAGTGAGCGGGTGGAAGAAGGCCCAGCCTGTCTGCCACTGTCAGTCTGCACCGGGCCCTGGCCTGCAGGCTCTCCCCAGGGCTGGGTGGCTGCTCTGCCCTTAGTGCAGGCTGCTGGCAAACAGGCTGAGCAGGGATCCCTGAGGGCACCGGCCTCCTCCATCATTGCCACTCTATGATGGTGTCCACACAGAGTCTACACGGCACACTTCTCCCTAACAAGAGGCCTGCCAAGGCTGACCACAGGGCTCCCTACCAGCCATGACCACCCCAAGAGACGCCCTCCGGCCTGGCAGCTCTGTGCGTGGGTCTATTTCAAGGTTGGCCTTGGGAAAGGGACTATCGGCTTTTCACTGAACCGGGTAACCAAGCCCGAGTCAAGAAAAGATTTCAGGGCAGTGGAAATATTTTACTGTCACTCAGGAAGAGAAGCAGAGTCCCTGAATTGCACTAAGATTTCCGGAACTCTGTAAGAATCACTCCTAGAGCCCATTCCTTGTCAAGGTGCAGTGGTCATCAAGCAGCCCGGACACTGGATCTCTGTCCTGATCCTGCAGGGCCATCCTGCCCCACCCCATCTCCGCCTCCTCTCTACAAGAGGGGATTAGCGGGTCACTACCTCTACACCACAGAAAGGGGCTAGCAGATGGGGACACAGCCACGCCCTAGGGAACCCTCGTTAAAAACCCGGGGCTCTGTCCTTCTGCCTCCGTCCTGCAGCCACCAGAAGCAGCCCCCTGATTGAGGGACAAGGGGGCACACAAAGGAAGCTGAGCCCACCCTTCCCCTGCCCTCACAGACCCAACACAAAGCAGGCCCAAGTGACGGGAAGAGGGAAGTTAAACCTGGTGATTGGATGACCCAGCACTCCACGTATCTCACTACTGCACCCCACATATGTCACTACTGCACCCCACATATCTCACTACTGCACCCCACATATCTCACTACCACTCTCCACATATCTCACTATTGCACCCCACATATGTCACTACTGCACCCCACATATGTCACTACTGCTCTCCACATATCTCACTACTGCACCCCACGTATCTCACTACTGCACCCCACGTATCTCACTACTGCTCTCCACGTATCTCACTACTGCACCCCACGTATCTCACTACTGCTCTCCACGTATCTCACTACTGCTCTCCACGTATCTCACTACTGCACCCCACGTATCTCACTACTGCACCCCACATATCTCACTACTGCTCTCCACGTATCTCACTACTGCACCCCACATATCTCACTACTGCACCCCACATATGTCACTACTGCACCCCACATATCTCACTACTGCTCCGAGACCTATTTTTTGACTGGATATGAGTGGATGGCTTTTTACTACCTAAGAATGTGCCATAAACGAATTGTTTTAAATTTTATCTAAAGTACAGCAAAGAGCAAGTCCCAGGGAGGAAATCTGGAGGGGTCGTGCATGGAAAGCTGAGCTTGTGTGTTAATTTTATGCCATACACTCTATGTTTTCAACATGGCAGGTACCAATAAAACACACAGCAATCACAGTAGCTGAAATGTGTGTCTGTATCTGCTATGAGCATGTAAATAAATATGCATTGTGAAAAACCGTGTTAAGAAAATGCAGCCCACAAGGAGGGTGTAAGCCCGTAATAGTGTTCTCAAATAGGGACAGCGTTGCCTAGTTTATTCCCCATTACCTTGAGAAAACATATTAAGGTATTTTTCATATTGAAAACAGTTGATCTTCGTAAAAATCAGATCTTAAAGTCTGGCTTTTGAGATAAACGGATTTACACTGCTCCTCGTGAGCGCTTCTTGGAGAATGTATTGTTGATGATCATTTTAAAGCCCCTAATCATAGACACATACCCCCGAATACCTGTGACAAATGTGTGTGCCTTGCCCTAAATTCTTTTCTTTAACAGTCATTGATTTTGCAGGTGCCTTGGAGGTGCGTGGGTGGCACCAGGAGCCCACACACATAACTGGGTCTGCGTCTCAGCCATTCCACCGTGGAAGTGCTTATTCTACGGCTCTCCGGGGGCCACTTCCGGGGTCCACTCTGACATGCTTAAGTACTCTCTGCTTTGGGCCTCTCCACAAACTCCGATGATGTTGTCATAAAATCCTCCCTTGAGTGGCAGGGAGAACTAGTTTATGGAGGAAAATCAACAAGTTGTAAGACTGTGGGCGCTGAAGTACTTCGGGGAGCATGCCATACGTTTCCACCCTCCGAGAGAGGCATGGCGGTAATACCTTTCTGTGCAATGCCTCTATTGATCAAACCCAACTCTGAGATGTGAAGTGCTCCCCAGTGGCCTTCAATGTAATTTCCCTCCTGGCAGTGATGAGAGACAAAGAGAACTGAGAAGGTCGCATGGAAGTCTGGAAGGAAGCAAAAAAGGCTGTGCTAAAAACACCCACGTCAGTCAGCTGACAAGCATTTATTTACTGCCCTTACACACTCCAGCACAACGCTCCTTGCTGGTGGGGAAGAAGTGAGAGGATGCACTGTGAGCAATTAGACACTCCTTTCTCTAAGGGCTGCAGGGATTGGTGAGGGCATCCAGCAGAAAAGTATTCAACACCAGCCCCTTGAAATCAAATGGGGCAACGAAATATCTCTTTAAGAAAAGTGTGGAGGCCGGACACTGTGGCTCACACCTGTAGTCCCAGCACTTTGGAAGCCTGAGGTGGATGGATCACAAGGTCAAGAGTTCAAGACCAGCCTGGCCAAGATGGTGAAACCCTGTCTCTAATAAAAATACAAAAATTAGCTGGGCGTGGTGGCAAGCACCTGTAATCCCAACTACTCAGGAGGCTGAAGCAGAGAATTGCTTGAACCTGGGAGGCGAAGGTGACAGTGAGCTGAGATCACCACTGCATTCCAGCCTGGACGATAGAGCAAGACTCCATCTCAAACAAAAACAAAAACAAACAAACAGACAAAAAACAAAAAAAAAAAAAAAAGAAAGAAAGCTGTGGAAAGAAAAACTGTGTCCTATCTCCTGGGCATGAATTAGCTTCAGAAACTCTTG